CATCCATCCATCCATCTATCTATCTATCTATCTATCTATCTATCTATCTATCTATCTATCTATCTATCTGTCCTGACTAAGCAATCACACATTTAGAAAATTATCAACATATATCACAATCCTCCTGAAATCCTTATTGATTCAATTAATTTTTGACCACAAACAAAATAATTTAAAGCTGGTAAGAGCCATAATAACTAGCATTGTTATATAGGAAGTTATAATGGATGACACCAACTATTCGGATTAAGTGAACTCTTGGGCTAATGAACTCTTTCAGTGCATGAATGAAACATTCATGCAGGTGATACATAAGTGGCTGCTGTCTGGTATCAATGAGCCTTACCATAAGAGTTCCTTCGATCCAGTCCTGGATGAGCAGGATTTTCTCTCTGCCATTGGATGTCCCTTGCTGTTTCGGTCTCCATGAAACTTAACATCGTCCCATTTTTCCAGTTGTGTTTGAATATCTACTAAGGAGAAAGGGAGGGAACAAGGGAGACCAGGAGGGAGTATGAGGTGTGGAGAGAAGAGAGATTAAGATTGAGAAGCTTTTTATTTCCTCTGGCATTCTTTCTATCTTTCCTGATTCATCTTCTTCATAGTATTTATCACCAAGGAACAGGCTGTACTGTAAGTGGCTTCACCACCGCTTCTTTCTACAAGGTGAGCTTGACAGGAGCAGGGATTTGTGTTGCTTTTGTACACCTGTATTCTTAGTGTCCACACAGTTCAGCCTAGACTGACTGATAAATATTTAGTGAGTGGGTAATTTAGAAAATATCCTTATATGTGCATCTTTATATTCGGGTGTTTTTAAAAATTTCTATAGAGTCTGAAAGGGAGGTTATATTGTCAAATGTGCCTGTAGAAAGTTTATCTATCTATCTATCTATCTATCTATCTATCTATCTATCTATCTATCTATCATCTACCTATCTTTGCATCTATTTGGTACAGGTTCTCACTATGTAGCTTGGACTGATCCTTCTGTTTTGGTAGTGATCCTTCTGTTTTCAGCTTCCCCAGTGCTGGGATTACAGGCATGTGCCACCATTCCTAGACTCAGTGGCCTGCTCAGCATGCCCAGGGATGGGACTGGCATGGTATGTGGTTCCAAGGATCGAATCCCAGTTCCTGCATTTGCCTAAGTAGGTGTTTAGTTCACTGAGCTATCTCCCTGCCCCTTCTGTAGAAAGTTTTAATTTTAACAAATAATTCTGATCACTTTCCCAAGAGGCTACAGCACTTCCTGCCCGTTTCCTTGCTTGTGCTGAATGTGATCACACTTGAGTTTTTGCCAGGCTTGGGGTGGGGCTATCTCATTTTCCAATTTCCACTTTCCTGACTAACAGAGAGCATTTTTCACATTTATTTACCATGTGAATTTTTCATATCTGTGAATGGCTTTTTTCATAGTCTTTGCCTGTCTTTTGTTTGGAAGAATAGGAGAGGGCTGACCTTTTCTAATGAGCTTAGAGGAAGGAATTAACATTTTACAAAACAGCACCTTCGGAATTCTGGCACCTATGGCAAGTTGCAGTGTTATCGCACTAGTATGAGTACCTCCTTGTTTTCTACTGCCTGGAGGTTCCTGTTAGGTTTTGGAATTAAAAGTGCTGTAAAGTTAACAAAAAAAGAAAGAAAAAAGACTGAGAAGTTTTATCGAAGCCAAATGGGTGCAATCCATCCTCATAAGACCCAAGACCAATGTTTACCCTTTCAATGTAGCATAAAAAATAACGAAATAAAAGTGAAGACCTTCAAGATAAATTGGATTGTCATTATAGCTGATGCAGTCAGCTCTGAACTTGTCTCAAGAGCTAAGTGGTTTCTGAATTTGTGGATGAGCCGCATAGGCTCTGGTGTCAGAACGTACTTGTGGAGTACCATCTTATTCCAGCCAAGGAGGTGGCTTTACGGGGCTTCTGGAATGTTTCTAGAAGCAGATTCTTCACAAAAGATGAATTCCAATGTTAAAAGAAGGTGAGAAGAAGCCAGAACAAGCTGAAGAAACTACTTAATTTCCCCTGAAGGAGGGAATGTATACTGAGGATCAAGGGAGAAGAGACAAGGCAGAAAGCTAAGAGAATGCTGGAGTCATTTCTCCCCAATGTCTCAATTCTTTCAGAAAAAAACTTAGTTGGATTCTTTCTCATTATACTTATGTGAATGAACAAACTAGTTAAGTTAGGTTTTTTTTTTTTTTTCATTTCTGTAAAGGTATGCTTGCAGTGGACATTTTCTAAAGATTTTTGTGTCTGCTTTTAAAAATTGTAGTACAATGCACAAGACCAAATTTACCATCTTAACCATTCTAAAGTGTACAATTCAGGGGCATCAGTACATCCAGTTTGGCACATCTATTGTCAATATTTATTTACAGAATTTTCCCCAGTTCCAACATTGCTCTTAATAGTCTAGGCGACATATTCATGAAGGGGACTACAGTTTCTTCAAACATACAGGTCCAAAGTTGAATGTGACAGTTTCCACCTTGACATCCTGCCTTACTCCTTCCCTTCTTGTTTCCTCTGTTGAAATTTGGAAGGACCTTCCTTTATATCCCTGTTACTTGTATAACCACATTTATTTAATTCCCAAAACTTATTTTCATACTTTTTTTCCAGCTGAACTCTTCATGTCCTCCCCCTGTCACTGATGGACTCTTGACTTTTGTCTCCTTGGCCTTATATCTTTCCCCGTACACTGATCAGAGAAGGATTTTTATAAATACAGTTTGTTTCTGTCACTCTTTTTGGGTAAGCCCTTCAAGCACCATCTCTTAGCACCGTTCTTCAGGGCACAGCATCCATAGACTGCCGTGGACTCTTAGACTTTTTTTCTCACCATTCACCATCCTTAAGTATTACTACAGTGTCCCTGTTTACTCGAAATGACATTTTTCTGTGTTTACCTGCCTATTTGTGTGTTGATTACTTTCTCTTCTCTACCAGCAATGCCCTGTCCTGTTTCTCTATCTCTTTTGATCTACGTTTCTGACCTAGAAAATTCCCACTCATCTCTCAAGACTCGGTTCACATGGTGTGTTGTATAAGGCACATTCCTCATCTCCCTAGTTTCATTAGCAGCATGATGAAGATGTTTAGGTAATAACTAATCTGAGCTTCCTTTTATGAACTATGTAGTTAATATTATAACTAACCATTTTTCTATTTCTACACTGGACTATCAATTTACTAAGCGGTGGAGAACTTATAATATTTATTTTTATATTGCTAGCATATGATGTGTGTCGTGAACACAGGAGGTAATCAGAAAAATGTTTCTAACAAATAAATAAAAGAATTCATGACCATCTTATACATACATCACACTGGTAAGTAATAGCACATATGTATTTTATTTAGCTTCAAAATAGTATGGGTGAGCTATGAGTATGTTCAGTTTCTGAATGTATTTATTTATCTACACACATACACACACAAACATACTCATCAGTCATAGCCAGAAGAGACAGACATTTCCCTTGGATTTTAAAAATACTATTTAGCAGAAAAGAAAGGCTGATTTTATTAGTTTCTTGAGCATTAAGCCCTCATTTCTCTGGAAGATATGGAATATGGTAGAGAAAAGTATAGGTTTTGAAGTTAACTACAGCTGGGTTTCATTTCCAGTTCTTCCTCTTACTGAGCATGGGATCTTGGCTAAGTCAATGATTAAAATCTGGTTTCTCACGTATGTCAGAAATGTGCTAATTTAATGAGACAATATACCTAAGTCATGTAATGCAGTCCCTGGACATTATAAGCCACAATGAATAGCAGCTATCATTGCTATGGACATGTCCTCACATCTGTTGCATGCTTCTGTTTTGTTTGGCCTTCTCTGGGCCTTGTGTTGGAGTTGTTGACTTCTGTGTCTCTCTTTTGCTTTAGACTGAGTGGCTCTAGAGAACAAGATTCATGGCTACCATGGTGACTGGCTTCTATCAAGAACTCAATGTATGTGGGTTGAATACTCAGATAAGTGGATCAATACGAGTTATGCAGCGTTGAGCTCCCCATAGTTACTCAACTCAAGCACCAACCAAACTGTTCCTGACCATCTTTTTGTTTTTGTTCTCTGTTGTAGTGTCACTTGTTCAACTTTCTTGTGTCAAAACCAGCATGGTGAGGTTGAAAGCAGCCACAGCGAACAGTTGCCTTACCTAGATCTAAGGAGGAGGTGTCCTGGACTCTGAGGGGCTGGCCTCTCTGCTCAGCATCTGTGCTGATGAGGTCGGATCCATCAGCCTTCTTCTTGAGGGAAGAGGTTTTTGATGAGGGCTCCAACTTCTTAGCTTTGGTTTGGGTTTGAGAGACTGGTTCACTCAGGTCGAGGAGATCTAAGCCAGTAGTCAACACTATCAGAAGTGGAAGAGATTAAGATAAGCACATTTATCACTTTTTAGTTGTGTTTTAAAAAATAGATTTCAGTTGAGTACAGAGGGATCTTGTGGTGATGGGATAGGTTTGAAATGGCAAATTAAGTTGCCTTACCATTGATTTAAAAACACTATTAGGATCAAATTTGTTGCTCAGATTACCAGATATGAGTATGCAAGATTGATCAAACAACTAAACATTAACCCTTCAGCAAATCTTAATTTTTTTGGTGATAATGATATATAACAACCATTGTTGATTTTTTATTCTTGTTTTGAAATTCTGCACCAGTTTTAGTGTTTTATGTTGCTTTGATTTTTATCTTTGCTCTTTTTTTTTCCTTTTGAAATAAAAAAACAGTGGGGGCAAAAAATAAATACCGTTAGTCTGGGAGGTTTGATTCATGCTCTTTTTGACATGGTACAAATCAATGAGACAGAATTTAGCTCAGTTTTAGCACTAATGAAGGTTTGAAGGACATTAAGATGATAAAACTAAATTTGAGTTCAGGCATAATTTATTATTTTGCTTCCCTTATAGTGATGCATTATTTTAGATTGTTCCTTTTCCAGAGAATGCTCAGTCTATAAAGTTCAGAATAAAGTTTTTGATGTCTTCAGGCTTTAATTTTAAACAGTGAAGTCTATGAGGTATAAAGCAATGCTGTTAATCATCTTTTATTTAATTAAGCAGTTCAATCAGAAAATAGCATGCTGTTTGGGCTCACACTCGAGAGGTGTTTTATAATCCATAGTTGATGAATAGGTACACATGTTAATGCTTTTGCTGTTTAATATGCAAATTCAAATTTCAATGTAGCTATAAAGCTGTTACACTTTTACTTCCTAGTAGGTTGATTACAGTGTATTAAACACTCCCACAAAGGCAGAAATAATAGTTTGTTGCAATGCAAACTAGGCAAATAATTCAAAAGGCAAGCCTTGTAGCCTTCAGATTTCATGTTTGCCATGCCAGTAACTAATGTCGGCCTGGCTCATATTGCAATTAGAGAAGGTCCCTCCAGCTCTCTCTCCTCACCAAGCCCTGCTGTCTGACTGTCACAGCACCAGAAAGGTTGACTGAGGCACAGAGTTGGTGGCTTCCTGGCCAGGGTTCTTTTCACCCAGCTGACTTGGGAAAGGCCCTATAGGACAGTGACACTCTTATGTTAACTTCTGAGCACAGTCTACAGCATTAGTGCACACCTTTCCCGTTTATCACCCCAGCTTTTGCTGTGTAGGGGAAGGATTTTATTGAGGTCTCAGCACCTTTCATTCAAGGAAATACTAGAAATATTTTATAATGCACAAGTCAAACAAAATAGCACTCTTACATATAAATAGAAGTGTGCTCAGCATCTTATACTCAGGGACTGAAAAAGACAGGTAAATACTGTTTCTTAGGCTGGGAAATTTGCTACATGCTCTTTTTGGCATGGTACAAATCAATGAGACAGAATTTAGACCAGAGAATGTTCAATCTATACTGTTCAGAATGGAATTTTGATTGTCTTCAGACTTTAATTTTAAATAGTGAAATCTATGTGGTATAAAGCAATGCTGTTAATCATTTTATGATGAGTTGTTGATATCTCTATGAACGCTGACTCAATCATTTTGTTTTCTAATTTCAATTCCTGGTCACAGTGGTGGATGCAGCTGGGAAGTGGAAAGATTAAGTTCTACCACTTTTACTTGTGTGTTGACTTTAGGTGTTTTTTTGACCAGACTGAATTTGTTTCCTTATCTGAAAAATGAAGAATTATAGTCTTTTAAATAAGAGATGAAAACTGAATTATTCTAATATATATTAGGTATCAAGCTTATGGTACTAAAGAAAAAAATTAATTTCTGAGCTTGGTGTCAAGCATTTGCCTAGTATGCATGAGGCCTGGGCTTGATCCTCAGAACCATATAAAAAGTTATTTCTATTTTTGGGAGGTCAATTAGTTATTTTCTTTTTTTGGCTTTCCTATTTTCCCTGTTCCTTTCTATTTCAGACAAGAATCAGATCCACACACTGAAAAAAAAGGAAACTCTATTTGGAATAAAACAGGATGAGATGAAGATACTGATTCTACAAGGATTCTATGAAGTGTATTTATCATGAAATGGCCTGAAAGTGTCAGCTTATCGTCACTGGGTCTTCATGAGCAGCGAGGAGCCACTCGGCAGCACTAAGATCCTCTGAGATAGTAGTGTTTGGCAGTAGAAAGTACTTCAGTGTAGAAGAAAAGAAGTGGCTTTCAGAACTAAGCTAGTTGGCTTTATTTCTAAAATTTAAGCATGGCAGGTAGCCAAGATAGGCTAGGATGCCACACACTTCATATCTGTTGAATGGTTATATAAAACTTTATAGACCACTGTTAGGTTGGCAAGGATTCTAGGCTCAATGTGATTTCCTTATGATAGAAGAAAAAAGAGGACGACTGTTCTGTCATTCTGGAATGATATTTACATGTATCTTTTTAAAAACTAATTGTATAAACAATTAAGAATTAGTCTCTTGCTTGTTCCTAGACTTCTTTCAGAAGCAAATTATATAGAAATTATCCATTTGTATATAGCAGTACATTGTAAAAAGCGAAATATATATATGATCGGAAGAGAAACCAGAGTATAGCGGTACATTTGTTACAAAATAATAACTATGTGCTAATTTAATTCTGTATCTGCTTCTCACCATACAGAAGAAAAGAATTAGCAAGAGAGTGAATTGCAAATTCAGACTTGGCCCAGCAAGATTCTTTTCCTCCCCAAAGTGTCGAGGAAACTTCTTGTATTTGTTCTGAGCTCACGGACTGTTATTTTTTATCCTGAAAATGTGAAACTAAAGCTTGATCCATGCAAAGGCCTTTCTCATTACCCCATTGATGGAAGAGGTGTTTTGGAGGCTGAATGGCAAGCTTTGAAGGTGAGAGGGTACACGAACATCACAATTTGGAAGATGGAAGGCTAGGGGCAGCTTTGCATTCCCCTGGAGGAGACCATATTGTAGGAAGGGTATTTGAAATATGACTATGTGCACAATGTTTGCTTATGTGCCTTTGTAAAATCAAAGATTTTAACAATCATTGTGGCTTACCACATAGAGATACAGTTTGAGAGAGCCACAGAATTAGCTGTCTACATAGATTAGATGAATTAATGAGAACTCAGGATGTGAACGAGAAAAAATAAAAGGCAAACATCCCCAATGGATTATCCTGAAATTATCATCATGGGGTGACAAAAAGTTAATCCTTATGTAGGAACAAGGACAAAATGAAAAAGATGATCAAAGCTCTTAATTATAATAAAAACTTCTAGGAGGCAAAAGATACATTCTTCTTAGGAGTTTTTAAAAAACTCATCATTTGACTCTCCATTGGGAGAAATACTCCTTTTGCTTACTTTGTGTTGCCTTATACAAGAACCATGTTCTTTGGGGATTTTAAAAATAGAGTGTTTCTTCCTTGAGATATACTTTTGAGATCAAGACACATGCTATCAACTGCAAGCTGCCTCAGGATAAAATCCGTGTGAAGCAGGTGTACTGTATACTTAGGCTGAAGAAGAAGTCTGCAGGCTAGGACACCACATTTCGAGACCCATTCTTTGTAAAATGTTATGGATTGAATTGTGCATCTCCGCTCATTCTCATGCTGAAGCCCTAATACCTCAGGATGTGATTTCATTTGGAAATAACACTGCTATGCTGGCCTTGGGTAGGCTGATGCTCAGAAACGACCTGTGTTCTCAACGAAGAGGCACACTCAGGGCGGGAGAAGCACCACAAAGCACCTTGGAAAGGAAGTTACGCTACCATTACCCAAAGGACTACCAGAAAGAAATGAGGGGAGAGGCCTGGACGAGGTTCTTGCTCAGAGCCTTCAGAGGGAGTGTGGGCCTCCTGGCACCTTGATTTTGTGTTGCTGGCCTCCAGAACTGTGTGACAGTAAATCTCTGTTTTTAATCCATTCGGCTAGGGGTAGTTTCTCACAGCAGCTCCAGGAAGCTCATAAAGACAGCAATGCCACAGGGATTGGGATTGTAAGGAATTACACCCTCTTTTGATTGTTTCTTCCAATATTTTGTAGGTTCCTTATGTGTTGAAGTCTGAGATGGAAAGTAGTTTTTGAGTCAAATCTCAACATTTCTCTCTGAGAGTGCATTCTTCTTAAGTGACTTACTTCACTTTCAGAATTGAAAAGTGAAGAGCAATTTAATTCACTGGATTTTCCTGGTTTGTCTACAGGTATGGATCCAAAATTCTCTATTTTCTGGGGTAGTTCTCAAGTTTTGGAGGGTGGAGCCTGTTTCATAGACCAGGAAGATAAATTTTGTTAGTCTACAAACTTACTTAATTTCCTGCCTGGATGTACCATGTATCATTTTATTTTCTTGGTTTTTCAAAGTGATGAATTTAGAAAAATGATTGCTTTAGTGTGATAGTAAGCAACTGATGTAATTGAAAAGGCAAGCATCTGGAGTGCAGTTTCTAACCTGCATCTAACAGAAATAGTTCTTTTGCATTAGTTGGATTTCATAAGGTGCAAATGGTGACAGGCAATTTCTTAGATTGTTTTGTTTATTTTTGCCAAGTAATTTCTGCAATAGAGATCTTACGATTGTTATTTGGGTGAGTAAACAGGGTTATTCACTACTAGATCCATGAGGAAACTTAGCAATTTGGCATTAGAATTTACAGAGTTTGATCCCAGACCCAGTAACCTGTATTCCTACGTAAGGCACCACAGTAACCTGTATTCCTACATAAAGCACCACATGTGACACAAGCTCTTGTTACTGTAATTTTTAGCATTTTGGGAAAATATCAATTTCCTTCTCTCATAATTTTTCTTCACTTGGAGGTACAACAAAGATATAGATACCAACAGGCGGCTTGGCTGCAGTGGCAACATGGAGCAAATCTAACACAGCACGTGATTCGCTTCTTCTCCATTCCGTTCTGCGCTATACATCCAGTGTGATCTTTCACATCAGACAGCTCTTTCTCATTCTCATTGAACAACATGCCTTTCGGCGTGAACGTGGGGCAAATGAAGCCAACGCAGAACGGCTGCCTCTGCTGGAGAAAGGTAATCCCCCAGCCCGGGGCATGCGCATGCGCTCGCTGGGTCCACACGCCTTCAGCGCCTGTTCTTACACGTGCCAGGCACTGAGCAGACGACGACGTCCTGCTTCGGTATGTTTAATTCCAGAAGCATGTTCAAACAAATTGGAATGTTCACTCCGCTTCTAAGAGGGAGCAAGTAACATACTTACAGGACAGAAAACAAAATGGGCTTTCTATTATCTTTTGGCTAAGGGAGAATTTAATTGTTTTTTTAAATCTCTGTGGAAAGATACTCACCTTTTTATCTTACTAGACTTTTGTTACACATAATATTTTCAGACATAATTGGGCCATTAAGAAGAACTTGAGAAACGTTATTTTGAAATAGATGCTTTCTTTTTAATGTGATACAACTGTAGATGCAAAGATGTAAATGTAAAAATACTCATATAAAAATTGCTAACAAGGGTATAGTCATGATCATTAAAATTGATTGGTAGAGCACGCTGTAGTTTTTCATGTAGTAAAAGCAATTTATTAGTTTATGCAGAATGGTCCGCGTTCTAAAGTCTCATTTGGTTGCAAATGTCATTCCCTACCTAAAAATGCCTGGGTGAAAAAACATGAATTTAATCGTAATTCAAATGAACTCTATCTGAGGCACAGTTAAAAGTGAAAGAATTACCAGCTGTATTGGAGGTTACTGGCCTTGCAATTGCTTCTGATTTGGTTTCACAGAGAAAGTCGTCGATGGAGGGGCTCAGGAGGGGCCTGCTTTCTTGCTGCTCATTCACCAGCTGAGAAAAAAGGAACACAGGTGTTAAAGGGTTTTGTCAAGCTCCAGACTCCGATGGGTTAAAATACAGCCTTGCAACGAAATGGGAACAGCAAGCCTACCGAAAATAAATACATACGGAAAGAAAGAATGGGGTGGGGGCAAGAAAGAAAAAAAACTACCAAGGGGTGGGGAACGAGCCTTTTAGCACTGTCAACATATTTTTGATGCAGCCAACTTTGAATTTTGAAGCTCAAGCCTTTTTTTCTTTCTGCTGGAGTAGTTTTAGGATGAGCCTCCAGATTCAATATGCAAAAGGGAAACCTGCTGATCCACAGGGCCAATTCCTTCCCTCACTTGGACAGAAATCTCGTACTGAGGCCTGGCAGAGTGGCCTCAGATTCCGAGCTAGCAGGCTCTGGTGAAGGCTGGCCGGCGGCGTCTGTGTGGTGATGGATGCAAACACAGGGATGAACAGCTATGAATCGATACTCTCCTTTTGTCTCTCTCTTTTAAAAAGCTCAAATCCACTAACACGTGCCCTCCACATTCCTTGGAACACTGTCATAGTAACTAGCAAATGTTTTTGAGGAGAGTAGAAAAAACTTGTTACATTGATTGTATAGGTATCTGGTAGATGTTTGTGAAAATCTGCAGTAAGATATATTCCTATAAATTCAATCAATTTTCTCATTTGCTTGTGCTATAATTTGGCAATCGTCCAATGGCTCTCTACTTATCAGTGGTATCCATGTATTTATTTTCATTTATCCTGTATTT